TCTCTCTTCTCTCCAGCTCTGCCCGCCAGGCAAGGCTGAGATAGCAGGGAACAGGGACGCCATTTAACACTGGTCCTTAAGGAGCCTGAAGACCTCAGGGCCTTAGCTCCTCATCCTCCCCTCAATTTTCATGTCCTCTCCTTCACTTCTTCTCACCTCCTTTTCCTCCACCTCTCGTCACCTCCCCTTCTTGACATCATGGATTTAATGATGTGGACAGTCCCTGCAGGAAAAGAAGAGAGATGCAGGCTTGGTCTTTCTCCTTAAGGGGTCAGAGCATCCACTGACCCAACCTTCCCTCTCCCGTGGTGGCTGGCTTCTCGTTTAATTCTTCCTTCTTCTCCTTCCATCTCAATTATGAACCTGTGGCCGAGCAAATTTAGCAAGTTCGGTATCTGTGACGTCTCAGCTTGCTCTCACCCTGGTTTTGGCGCCCACAGGGTTGACCCACCGGGAAGGGAATCTGTTCCCCCCACCTCCAGATGGGCCCTAGCACGGCCGTGTCCTGGTCTTGATGAAGTCAGTCCTTGCTGGTGAGCTCATGTTTACTGCACCCGTGGGAGCTGGCTCCCGGTGTGCCCCGTTTATGAGGGGAGGAACTGGGGCTTTGTGTGGTTATTCATGTGAGGGACTGAAAGGTGTCCACCCTGTTCTTATGGGAAACCAAGTGACACAGCTGCCAAGAATTCCACCCATCTGCCTGCTAGGATGCTGGTTCCTGACTCTGCTCCGCTCACTGTTCTTGCATAAGTCTCTGCTTAGGGGCATCTTGAGTCCTGCGCCATTGGGATACAGAACCTTCCTGCAGCTTGGAGCGGTTTGTCTTGGGGCCTGGCCCTTTTCTGCTGTGGTTCTTGACATTGGTCGACCCAGGCCTCACCCAGGGAGCTGCAGCTGCTGTCTTGGTCCCGCCCTCCCTGATTCTGACTTACCTGGGCAGGGGCGAGGCCCGGAAACCTCCCGGAGTCATTCTGACCTGCAGCTACCTTGGAGGAAGAGGCTTGGGGGCAGTGTTTCTCAACTGGGAGCAACTTTGCTGCCCTCTCCCCCACCGTGGACACATGGCAATGTCAGAGACATTTTTGATGGTCACCACTGGGACAGGGGGTGCTAGTGGGTAGAGTCCAGGAATGCTGCTGAACATCCTACCACACCCAGGGCAACCTCCCCCCACCGAGGGCTATTCTGCTCCATATGTGCCTCATTGAGAAGTCGTGCTCGAGAACAGTGGTTCTCACCCTTGAATGTGCATCAGAATCACCTGGGAGCTTACTAACACAGACGATAGGGCCCCACGAAAGTGTTTGATTCAGTTAAGTCTGGGACAGAGCCCGGGAGTTCTCATTTCTAACAGGTGGAAGCCCTTGGTCCAGGGTTATCCTTTGAAAACCTTTGCTCTAGAATGTCTCCAAATCCTGCTTGCCTAGATCTAAAATCTGAATCCATTATAATTACTGGAAAACTCTACAACAACAAGGACTTGCCTAAAACAGAAGCGCCTCTCTGTCTTACAGAACAGAAAATCCAGAAACAGGCAGAGCATCCTTGGAGGGACCAGGGATCCAGGACCCCATCTTCTTGTTGGGTCATCTTAGAGTAATGACTCCCATTTTCAGTGTCCTTGTAAGCCAAAATGGTTGCTGGAGCACCATCCATCCTGTCCTTCATTGAAAGCAGAAGATAAAAATTGGGATCCTTCTAGCACCTTTAAGCAGCCTCCCAGAATGACGCCCGTAGTTCTGCTTATATCTCATTGATCAGATCTTAGTTATTTACCTGACCTTGTCTAGCCACATGGGAGGCTGGGGAATGGAGTCTTTTTGCCAGCCCAAAATCAGAGTTCTATTCTGAGTAGACAGGGTAGAGTAGACACTGGGTCAGGCAACCCACAGCTTCTGCCCATGTCTGCATGCCTAATCTTTCAAGAATTACCACTTATTTGGCATCTGCCATAGTACGCTAGGTACTTTTGATATATTATCTCTTTTAATCCTGAGAGCTTTGCAAGATAGATAATAATTTTATCTCTATTTTGCAATGATGAAACTAAGGCTCTCAGAGATTAAGCCACCTGTCCACGTTGCAGGCAGCAGATGGTGTAATTTAACAGCCCACTTCAAAGCGGGGGCTGCCCCTTGCCTCAGTTGCTCTGGGAGGCCGCCTCTTTCTTCTGGGCCTGCAGTATGGGTTAGACCTATTTATGCCAAATTCTGGACCCTGCCCCTTCTGATCAGCTCTGTTTGACTGTTGACTTCTAGATTGTGATAATATTTTCGATAATATTATAATAGCCGGGAGTGGGGCTCAGTGGTAAAGCACATGACTTGTAAGACCCTGTGTTCAATCCTCAGCACCATTAAAAAGACCAAAAACAAACAAATAAACAACAACAACAAAAAAAAACCCAAAAAGCCCTCTGAGGGGCCCAGAGTGCCCTGAGAGCAGTCTCGGGAGCTACAGTGTCTATAGGACTGGGTTCTTGTGAAGCTCCAGGGAAGTCTGTCCTTTCCTGGCTTCTGGGGCCACCTGCTCTCCTGGCCTCATGACCGCCTCCTGAACCCTCCCAACCTCTGTCTCTGTCCTCACAGCACCCCCACCCTCCATTCTGCTTCTCTCATCGGGACCCTGATGATGACATTTCCGGCCCACCTGGATGACCCAGGACCCTCAGCTTCATCACACACCCCTTTGGACCTGGGGTGCCATTTGCGGGTGGCAGGGATCAGGACGAGGGTGTGCTTGGGGAGCTGCTGTTCCTCCTCCTGCAGGGCCCTCTTGCTGCGCTTCTTTCTCTCCTCATTCCCGTTTTTCTCCCGTGGACGGCTCAGGTCCTAGACTGTGCCTGTGTTCCACGTACACCTGGGAGTCTTGGCGGAGGCCAAGGTCAGGCTGAAGGGCAAGGCCATGCCTCGGAGGGCTCAACCTATCATCTCCCAGTGGCCATGGCAACAGGTGTGAAAATGGCCAAGTGCCAAGGATAGGGCAGGGTGGGGGTGGGTGCTGCCCTATAGCTGTGTCACCTTGGCCAGGATGACGCCCCTGTGCAGTGACAGATGATGGGGAGACATGAACAGAGTGTGTTGTCATAATCTTAGATCTCCAGGTTCCTTCTGACCCGCGTGCCTCTCTCCAGGCCGACGGAGGCGTCTCTTTAGCCAAATGGACACTATGCCAGGAAGAGTTTGAAGGGGGCCTGGGAGGGTCTGCTCCTGTCTGAACCTCATTTTCCTTCTCTCGGTCCATTCCCTCACTCCCGCCTCCGCCCGCTTCCCCTTGGCTGGGTCTCCCATGCCGGGATATGAGTCTGGGGTGTTGCATTTTTACTTTTTATTTTATTTTGCAAATGCCTCACAACATTCTCCTCTGTGTTTAAGTCCTCCTGCCAAGAGCATGTGGTTGCCAGGCAACAAGAAGGAAGTCCTGGCTGCTGCCAATTAATTTGCTAGCTGCAGGCATCTCCCTGGGGAGAAGGCTTCGTGCCCGCTGTGGCGCTCTCGGAGACAGCTCAGAGGGCTGTTGCCCAGGAGGGGAAAGGAAACCAGAGGAAAGTTAGAGAACTCTGGGTTTGTTTGGGGTGTTTTCAGGTCCAGCTGGAAGGGGGTGTCCACAGGGCCTGGGCACCACCAGGGGTGAAGACACCCAGTTTCCTTCTTGGCCACCCTTCAGAGAGCCACAGCGCGCCTCTGTGTCTGCACGTTGGCTGCCTTTTGGGTTTTTTTATTTGTAGGTGACTCTTGAAATGCAGACTCTGTCTCCTTTCCCAGTTCCCTGCAGAGAAATGTCTTGAAGCATCTTCTCCCTGCTCAGAGCCCTGGGGCCTCCCTGTGACACCTCTCCTCCCTGGCAATTAGCACCCTTCTCTCTGGGACTCATGGCGCTGCTCCATCCCTGCCTGGGTTCAGCCACCTTGGAGCAGGAAGGACGGCCCTTTGCACCAGGCTGAGCCGCCTTGCTCGTGGTCTGGGTTTCAAGAGCGCCTCCAGAATCTCTAGGCTGTTTCCCTCCAGATTTCAGTGTCCTGGCTTCCTGCTTGCCTAAGGAAGCCCTGTGCCAAAGGCGCCTCCCTGATGTGCCTAGGAGGGCAGAAAGGTTTGCCTGCCTGACTCACTTCTGCAGCCACAGCATCTAATCAGGAAAGTACCAGTGCATGCACAGGTTGGTAGGTAGTCATCTAAGTTGTTCTTTGTGGTTGATGGTGACTACTGGAATCGGAGACCCAGAGAGCAGCCTCCTTCAGGAGACTCAGGTTGTCTGCATCTGTGGAGAGGCCACTTACTCCAAATGCTGAGTCTCATCAACTTAGAATTGCCAAGACCTGTGAGGGCATTTAGTGGTGCTAAATATATTTGCTACTCAGCAATGGGGGATTGGAAGGTGTGAGGAAGAGATGGGGGAGTCCCCGTCCATCTTAGTTTCTTTGCTGTCAGCGTTAGGGGGAGAGAAATGTATTTAATGGTTTCCTCTTTCCACTAGGCCACCGTCCACTCTGGGAGTGGTCCTGATTAGTGACCAAGAGAGTTTTGACAGAAGAGAGAGGTTTCAACCAGAGTGGCTGTTAGGGTAAGGGACTGGACTCTGTCCTTATAACTGAGGATCCTGGCACTCTCTGAGCCTCAAGCTTTCCTCCCTGTGAAGCGGATGCTCTAACACCTCCATGCTCCTGGCCCCATATTACACAGGTATAATGGTGACCAGCTGCAAAACTGAATTTCCTGCCTCTCCGGACCAACGGAGTTCTACGATATTCTTTAAAGTCAGTGCTGGGCAGAGTGGTGGGTCTGGACAGGGGCTCCTGGTGATGATTCATTGTGCAGGGAGTTCCTGGGAAGTATAAATAGGTCTCCTTTCTTAACTGAATCACTGTGTTCTTAATATTCTGTTCAGTTACAATGTTAACTCGAATATCATGGACTGAAGTCAGAAAGTGAGGCTGAGCCCTGAAGACACCTGTGGCCAGTGTGGGAGCCCATGTCTAACTCTTCTGCTGTTTCGGTTCATAGGCCTGGGGACGATGACCAAGTGCTGGCTTCCTGGCCCACACCACCCACCGCAAAGCCTCCCAGAACCAGCGAAGGCCCCCAGCACCCCTTGAAGGACTTGGCTGAGGTCAGATCACCTCTTGAGAGTCAAGAGCCCTGGATTTGATTAAGAATTCTTATATTGGAGAATAAAGAAACTTCTGGACTCATGGAGACATGTGGGTGGAAACAAAGACCCACCCTAAGAAGCAGCCACACGTGGACCTGAGCGAGCAGGAGGGGCATGGCTGGGCCACCTGCAGCCAGAGACGACTCCTTCTCTCAGACTCGGACCTTCCTCCTGTGGAAAACGTGGCCTCTGCTGCTTCCTGCTCCTGACACTCTTCCTGGCCCCAGCCCAGCTCCCAGGCTTTGTCCTACACCCTTCCCTGCCTGCCTCCACCTCCCTACCCATCGTGCCTTTGGACTCAGCGAGTCTTCTTGCTTGCCGGCCAGATGCAGAGTAAATAGTTAACTACACTTGAGTCAAATGAGATCTTGGGTTTTGTTCCTGCTCCTTCTAAAGCGGCCGCCATTTGTACATTGTGAGCAGCTCAGGAATGGTATTTGGACCTGCCCCTGCGCACCCAGGTTCCAGAGTGACCAAGAGTCAGTGTGGAATTCCTTCCGGCTATCGGTCATCAGGGCCATTGGAGAAGGCTCAGGCGGGCAAGTTGGATGGTGAGGGCTGGTATTCTCCACATCCAGCTCTCTAGGTGGCTTCCAGAAGGACAAAAATGATCGGTTCATTCCATCTTCTGACGGATCCAGGCAGCTGTGAGGACCCTCTTCTCAGGTGGCAGCTGGGCTCCAGGCAGGATCTTGGTGCTTCACAACATACAAGCTGGCTACTGGGGTTGGTAGTGTTTATCAAGGACCGTCCTCTCCCAGTGTCTTCTGGTGACACTACCTGATAGTGACTTGAGTCTTCTCTGTCCCTTTTACTCTGCAGCCACCATGATCATGGTTGAAAACACTAAGTCCTGTCACAGTCAACCTCATCCAACATGCAGTCAAAGATGAGTGTACTTTCTAATTTCCAAAGTGAACAGACAGTTTGTTTTCATAAAAACAATTGAAGTTTCCCTGTGTGGTGTGTGGTGCGTTATGGTGGGTCAGGACTTGGGGTCATTGTTGGCATCTCCAAGTCACCACAAAATGATGGAGGAGAGCCTCCCAAAGATGTTCAGTGCTACTGAAATTGGAAGAGGATGTATGGGAGTCCCCTTCCTTCCCTGGCACTTGCGGGCAGCCATCATACTGTTCAGATTTGTTCAGGTTTCAGAAACAGAGGCCCCCTGGTATCACCTCCGTGAACGAGGTGTATTTTAAAGTCACGGGGGAAGCGAGGCAGAGGAGGGACAATTCCAGCAGCTACCCAGCTAGGCCTTGTCAAGAATCCCGAAGTCATTGAGCACACCCAGTAGCTATGGCCTGTTTCCAGGGACAGCAAGTGTCACATCTGGTCGTCTTGATCCTTTATTCTGATTCCCTGCTCCTGACTCTGGAATTCTGCAGTGGGGATGAACAGGGGGACCTACTGTCCTTGTTTGCATAAGCCTAAGGTGTTTCTCATAACAGAGGACTTTCAGGGCTAAACCTGGGACATTCTTGGGCAAATTGGAATAATTGGTCGCCCAGCTAGGTGACCCGGTGACCTTGCCTCTACTACTTTTCCTACTGTAATTGATGGATGCTTCTGATAGGCTTGGCCAGATACCATTCAGCGCTCTGCATCTGGTCACTTCATTGGCCACTACAGTCTACAGATAGATGCTATTGGGTCAGGCACCATTCCTGACCCAGTTAGTTCTCTCCTGAATGGAAGGGTTGCATGGTATTGAATAAAATCCTGAGTAGGAGGAGCCAGATGGACAGTGTGCATGGCGGGGATTCAGGGTCCCAGGGATTTCTCTCTAATGCAAGCATACTAACACAGGTAGAACTAATCTTTCCCATTAAAAACAAAACCGTTCATTAAGAAACAAAAATATATATATATAAATATATAACATAGCCTTTGGGAACAGTGGAAAATGGTGACGTGTGTGTTCATGTGCTACGCAGGATAAAAATTCTACATCTTTGCTAGACAGAAACAAAGAACTAAAACCTTTGGGATGGTTTTGTCTGGAGAGCAAAAGAGTTGGCGATGAGTTGACTTCCTGAAATTCCTTTGAACTCTAGAATTATTTAAAATGTCAAGGGCGTGTAAATTGGAGCTAAGTGTGTACTTTCTTACTGAAGTCTCCTGGATAACCTTTGCGTTCCACTCAGATAGTGCTGAGGGGGACCTCCCAGCTCACTCTTCCCTATGCAGACACTGACTTTATCTGGGATAAGGGAGCGGAACTTGGAGGTGGTGGCGGGGGAGCGCAGGAGGGCAGAGTTGGGCCTGCCCAAGTTTTTTGGTGTTCATGACAAGTAAGAACAGTCAGAGGCAAATTATAGGTTCTTCTGCAGGTTAGAAAAGCCAGGTTTTCAGACTTGCATGACACCCTGAAGTTGTTGCTGCTTGTCGAGGGATTCGCCTTCCATCTTTTCTGCTGAAAGACAGGCATGAGCATCCGCCATGTTGGAACATGGGCCCTCAGCTGATCTTGCACCCTGTGGCCACAGGGAGGACAGAGGTGAGGGTGCAGGCTCCAGAGCCTGTTCTCATCACTCCTGAGATTCCCCGAGTTTACCTCTGAACTGACCTATCTTCACAGATGGGGGAGGGATGCTGGCCCAGCTGCTTGGGTGCCATTTTTCTTTTTAAAAAATGAACATTTCAGCTGTTCCCTTCATGTGTGTCCTGCATTCATTCTTTGGTTCCAGAATAATCGTGCTGTTGGGCCAAAGGCAACAACTCCCCCGACCCCATACACACCCCCGCTCTTCTTATCTTCTCATCCACATAGAATCCCAGGGGCCAAAATGGTCTCCAACCTCGCTCTTCTCTGGATCTACCTCTGACTCATGCAGGAATCCCCTTTCAAACATCTGGTGAGGGCTCGTCCAGCCCTCGGGGAGGCAACCTTTTTGGCAGAGTGGGAGATGTGAGGGAAGGTTGAATATTATTCTCCTACTTGAGGGGAAGCAAGAGAAGTTTGAAGAGCAATTCATGGCCTGCCTGCCAAGAGGCCACGAATATCAATTTCTTACTGAGATAGAAGCTAAATGCATTTTGCCCTCTTCACCCACATCTCTCCATCTCTTATTTCTGGATCCAGGCAGTATATCTTATGCTGGTGAAAAGCGCTGGCTTGGGAGACGGGGGAACCCGAGTTCTGTCTCAGAGTCCCTCATCTTAGTTCCAACCATGTAAAGGAGGGTGTTGAGCATGTGGTCCTGGGACTCCCTTAGAGCTATGTTCAATGCCCTCGGCTTTGGCTAGCTGCAAGGTCACATGCCAGTAATCAGGCCCTTTCTCTGGGCTGGTCTTGACAGTCCGCTACAGTTCCTTCCTGGGTCACATTCCCATCCCTGCCTGACCCAGCAGGGGTCTGACCATTCCCTGACAAGTGGCACGTTGTCCCTTTGCCTTGGGGCTGCACGAGTCAAAACCAGAGCTGCCCCAAGGAAGTCCATTACCAAAGAATACTTCAAAGCTGTTTGCACATGCTGTCAGTCGCACTGAGCACAAGTTTGTCGAGGGAGAAGGCAAACAGACACACAGCCGATGACAGGATGGGTGGAAGGGAGACTATTTACCCCCCGGGGGACAGGGAGGCAAGGAAAAAACCTGCCTGCTGTTTTGACCAATAAATAAGAACTGGGAGCTCTGCGTGGCTAAAACTGTAGGGGATTTATTAGTTTGCTTAGTGAAAGGCAAATATTAAGTCGTAGCTGACCCGTCCTGGGACCTGCCTTTTGGCTTTTGTATGCCGTCAGGCGCCGATCACTGGGTACTCGAGGTTATCAAGTTCTGTTGAAGGTGTGTGTGTGTGTGTGTGTGTGTGTGTGTAATTGTTTTCCGTCTCCTTCTCCTCTTCCTCCTTCACCTGCCCCTTCCCACTGACATCCCCCTTTTTCTGGTAACTCAGGTTTGGGGCTTGGAGGGGGCAGAAGCCATGTTCTGCTCATAAAACTGCTGCTCCCCAGGGCTCCTGCTGGCCTGGAACTACTGGTGCTGGTGATGTGGCAGCTTGGGAATGAGCCCACGGGTGGTCCTTGCTGGAACCCCACCATCCTCAACATCAGGTCCCAGGCTGGCAGGCAAAGTCGTTCTCTCTTTAACCTGAGAATGAGCAGAATTACAAGCATCAGAAAAGAACAGGTCACAGCTGTTTCTGAGCTGTGATCGCTCCATCCTGGGTGACAGGGCCTACCTACCAGGACAGATGGTTTTAGCCTCATTTGCTGAAAGATGAACTACTCAAGGAGGGGCCGACCCGACCTGGTGACTCACTCTCCATGGAGAGTCCATATCGGATCAGAGGGGCTGGACAGGCTGTCCAGTTTCCAAGCATGAGCTGCGCCGGAGCTGGGTGCAATCTCTTTACACTTTGCTTCCTCCCCCGCAGTGCAAACCAGTGTATTCTAAAACGCTTCAGTGCTGGGGTGCTCAGGACTCACAAGGAGTACAGGACAGCAGGGCACGCTGCTCCATGACAGACCCTCAGGGCCCTTTGTCAAGTCCACCCCTGGCTCAGGACGCTGCCATTCTGTACCTATTAGTCATATGGCCAGGAGTTGGGAATGTTCTGGAATTGCTTCATTAAGAAAGTTCCTCTCGCATTCCGGTAATGAGTTTTTATTGAACTCTGTGTGTGAGTCAGCTTTCCATCACCATAACAAATGCCTGAGATAACCAACTTACAAAGAAAGAGAAAAGGTTTATTTTGGCTCACAGTTCTGGAGATTGCAGCCCATGATCTGGCAGAGCCGTGGCTTAGGCCTGTGGTGGGGGCGGAAGTATATAGCAGAGCAGAACTACCCACCTCATGGCTGGAAAGTGAAAGACAACATGGGACCACAGACCCCTTCCTGAGGCACACCCCCAAAGGCCTGATGATCTCCCACTAGGCCCCACCCACCTCTTAACATTTCCACCACCTCCCACCAGCACTGGGTTGGAAACCAAGCTTTCAACTCACAGGCTTTTAGGGAACATTCCGGATCCAAATGTTGGCATTTTTCTTCCTTGACCACGGAACTTTAGTATCTCATTGTGCTTATTTGGAACTTGTTTTGGGTGTCCCCTTCACCCCCAGCATGCTCACTCTTTCTCTTTTAAGAACTGGGTCATTCCTTACTTATTGAATTCATCCCTGAAATGCCCAATAATGTTCAAGTCCCAGGGCAGGCACTCTGTGGTCATCTCATGCAGTCCCTCACTTAATCCTCAGAAGACGGAGACTTCAAGGAACCATCCATTGCCTCCACCAAATCTTTCATGTAAGTGTTGGAATTCAAACCCAGGGTTGTCAAGGTCTCAAGTTCAGAGCTAGTAAATTTGCAGTGTGATGGCTTTAAATGATGCATGTACAAGAAAGATGTTGAATCGACTTTTCCTATTGACAGTCTGTTGCTGTGTGTACCTCCAAATTTGCCTGGTTTTTGTTTGCCCAGTACTAATCAATAAAGTGTTATCTGAACAACAGTGAAAATCGGTGCCTTTGATTGGTTGCTTTCCTTGAAGGAAATAGAATGTGTCTGGATATTTTTTTCTCCCAGTTAACTGCAGGCCAGGTTCATGTTTAAGGTTGGAAAGAGAAATATGAATTCAAGTTTAGCTCAGGATTTCTAGAGACTTTTCTCTCATCTACCAGGAAGAAATATAGAGCACATACATACACACACATCTGAGGTAGTCTCTGCTCTCAGAATCTTATTTATGAGACCAGAGAAGACCAGCACACATGAAGCCATCGATCACATTGGCAAAGGAACTATTGCTAGAGCCTCTGGGTGGATCAGGACCCCTGAGATTCACCCTAGTGTGAACTTTCCATCAGATTGCAGGAGGAGAAGTTGGACATCAGTGGGTAGATCCATAGGCACAGGGGCTCACCAGGTTCCGGGGCTCACCACGTGGGGACCAAGGGCAAAGACAGGAGGCTCCGCTCCAGAACAAGCAGCCCGGGGAGGGGGAGGTTGTGCCCCTGCCACCTGGTCACTCCCTGCAGAGAGAAGGCTAGAACAGAGGAGCCAGGAGTGGCCAGAGCTCCATAGCATTTGGGGGAGAGAAGCACAGCAAGCTCTCCCACTCCTGGCCTTTTACAAACATGAACAGTGAGAGCTGGGACAAGGAGGAGGCCATCTGTGGACCATGGCCACCAGCAGTTGTTTCAGAAAAGGAAAAAAAAAAGTGGTAGAATATTCTGCTGAGAGAAATGAGGCCATCCATAAAGTAAGTCAGTGGTTTCATGGAGATCTGCAATTTTAAAGCTCTTTGAATCTCTTGATGACTTTTTGAGAAGGTTTTGAGACCTTTCTTTTATTGATGAGGAAACTGAAAGTGAGGGAGATTGAATGACTTGCCATGGAGCAGACTGTGCAAGGGCAGTGTTATGGCCATTACCACAAAGTATCAGTCCCAGCAGGCTGCTGTAACAAAACACTCTGAATCTCCTTTTTCACCTGAGTTTTTCTCATTGGCACTGTAGTTGAATAGGAGCTGGCAGTGGTGGGGACAAAGGTACTCTCTTTCATGCAGAAATTTGGGGTTCCTTGTGTCTTAGAATCCCACTGCTTTCAGGTGCCACTTCTTCCACCAATGAACAGAGGATACCACCAGAGGACATGCTCATGTACAACTGCCAAGGCCTTGAAGGAACACCCATCACTTCTGCTTACATTCCACTGGCAGGGATTGTCACAAAGGTCCCCTTGGATGCAAAGAATTGGGAAATGTCCCACTCTGTCAAAGAAAGCAGGGAGAACACAAATGTCAATGAGCATCAGTGATGTCTGCAGAACAAGCAGCCTGGGGAGGGAGAGGCTATTCCCCTGCCACCTGCCATGACACCTGGGTCCCCTTCATCACAGTGGCCATTGAGAATCGCGAGTTCTGGCCACCTGAATGCCCTGTCATCGCAGACCTCTGTGTAGGTTTAGAGCTTTTCTACTGTGAATGTTGGAGATTTTAGGACTCCTGTGAAGGTTTAGTGATGCTTAAGGGTAGAGGGTGGGCTGACAGCTCCAGTCCCAGATCCTCTTCAAGACTTTTAGCAATGCAGCCTCAAGTGAGTAACTTACCCTCTCTGTGCCTCAATGTCCTTTTCATTAATGTGTCTCCAAGGGCAGTTGCAAAGATTTGGATTTGGAGCCTTTGGGACTTGGGGTTTTCTGATTAGAGATGTTCAGTCTCTACTTAGAACATATGGGGCCATCTGCCGTCACTTTAGCTCAGGCAACCTCTGTGCCCGGGCAGGGCAGAGGAAACTCCAGGCAGGCCCCTCTGCTGTGTGGTCAGGACTGTGGTGGCCTCTGCTCTGGCTGTGCAGGTTTTGTTGGGGATGGAGGGGAGCTGAGCTGTGCCCAGATACTCCAAAGTGCCTCAGGGTCTCCTGGACACTCCTAGTCACTCAACTGACCATCTTGTCTCACCTGACTCTAATATTGTCAATTTTTTTCCTTCCAAAGCCAAGTACTCTCCAGAATCTTTCGTGTTATTTACCAACTGAGAAGACCCTGCTGAATCGGTACGCCCCTCGACACACACACTGGGTACTGGAAGCCCTTCTTCCTGGGGCAGAGAGGGAGCCAACTGCCAAGGCTTCGGGAAGCCCACAAGCCAGACAGCCGTCTCCCCAATTCCACATCCAAGTTCCAAGTCTCAGCCTCCTCCCCAGTTCCAGCAGAAACCAAGGCATCCCTGCTCGGACCCCATGGCCCTGGGCGTGGACTCCCGGGAGTGTGAGACCTCAGTGGCCTGGGGGCTGGCACCAGCTCAGCCTGCTTGTCTTTGGCTGTCCTGGCACCATGAGAAGATGGAAAAGCTGGTCTGTTTACAGGACAGAGGGCCAGAGGAGCATTAAAAATAAGGAGCAAATCAAATGTCATAAACAAATTTCCTTCCAGTGCAGGAGCGCTCGCTGCCCTGTCCTCCAACACCAACCCTCTCCCCCGTGTGTTTGGATAAACTTTCATTCTGTGCAGTTGCCATTCCCAGGGAGGGACTCCTGTTTCCGTTGTTTGTTTGTTTTGATTTTGATCATTCCTCGGCCCCTGGAGCATCACACACCTCACAGTAAAGAGAACAAGTTTCCTATGGGCGCCTTGGGAACACGCATCCCGCCCTCCGCTCCAGCCACACTGGCCCTCCACGGCCTTCAGCATGGTGGGCCTCAGAGGAAAGCTCCTAGCACCGGCTGGGTGAGCACCAGGGAGGGAAGGAGGTGACGCCGAGGAGGGCTGGTACATGGGCCATGTGTGGGTGGGTTCCGAGGTGTGGCTCCCCCGCATGGGTTTTCTGTGTGAGCTCAGAGCCACCGGCTCCCGTTTCCTGAGCCCAGCAGGTAGCTTATTGTAAAACAGTTCATCCAGAGGGGAAGAAAGACCTTCCTTCAGCATTTTAATTTTTTTTCTTGCTCTGAACCAGACTTGAGAGAAAGAGAAGGGGGCACGGGAGCGGGGACCGACTACTTCCTCCTTCGTGAATACATGCCACATGCCACCCGAGGGACAAAACAAAACCCAAAACCTCCTGGGAAGGCGTCATTCTGGTTTATAAGTGCATTGCGTTTTCCAGGACCCCTCTTTGTATATTTTACACTGTCCCTCCCTCCCTGGCCTCATTCCCCTCTGCCTTCTTCTGTCCTTTAGGGACGGGGAGGAGGGACATGAGAGTCCATGCTGACCCCTCACCGCTGACGTGGACCGTGATAAGTGTTAGGAATTCTCACTTTGTATTGAAAGTTAATTTCATTTTCTAAATCCCTTGCCTGCGCCTGGTGGGAGGAATTGGCACACTTGGAGGTGCTGAATTCAGAGAGGTGGTGAAGTGGAGAGCCGGGTGGCCCTGACTCATTGGCAAGTCATGGAATTGGTTTGGCTTGAGATTCCTGAGGATTCTACTCAGTGGAGGTACCAGGGAGTGGCTGGGGTGGAGGGCCGGCTGGGCTAGCCCACCCCCACTTCCCCATCAGCTCTCCAGCCTGCCTCTGGCCTGCCAGATTTCTCCCCCTCCCCCTCCTCCAGACAGGCCACAGCTGTCCCAGTGTCACCTGCCCCAGGTTGGCACCTGGGTTATGAGTTGGCTCCCACCTTAGGATCCCTGTCTTCCGAGGGCAGAAGGAAAAGATTCTTACTGCAGAAGGTGTGAGAACCTCCGTACCCAAGGCCGTTTGGCACTGGGTGGTGCCTAGGCATGTTCGTGAGTGATGTGCCCAGAATGTGTGAGCTGTGCCTGGATCCTAACAGGTGCTGTGGGCTCTGCTGTGGGGATGAGCTTTGGATAGACTCTTCTAGAAACAAAGAGGAATCTCTGAGAACACACCCCCAATGCGGTGCTCAGGCCCCCTTGAGAGCAACAGGACACTCAAACTCAATAGAAACAAGTGTTCTGCAATCCATCCATCATGGCAAGAGAGAGGTGGCGGGCCTTGTGCTCCGACCTCCGTCTCGGGCAGGCTGGGTTCAGGTGGGTTAGGTGGGCCACCCAGCCTCTCTCTCCTCAAGCGACTGGAGTGCTTTGACTGTAGCAGGGCTCTGGCTGCCTGGGAGAGTAGGGTCTCCTAGTCGCCTCCCGGGGAAGGTGCAGCAGATGAGGCTGAGCAGGCCCCTGGGTTCTGGGGTGGGGGGAGAGAGCCGGCCAGGCCAACTGCTGCAGAGGCAAAATCCATTTGTGGCAGCTCTGTGCCTCCGTCAGGGTCGGGTGCTCCTGGGTCAAGAATGCTTTGAGTAAGAGGCGCTGGGGGTGGACCCGCCTCCAAGTGGGACGCCGGGCTCCCCTGGGAGGGGACGACTTCATCCGGGCCGCGGTCTCACTCATTCTCAGTTCCGCTCTATTTAGAACACTTTTTTTTTTTTTTTTTTTTTGGGTGGAAAGCAGATTGCTGAGGAGGAGAAGCCAGCCGGGAGCAGATTCTGCGGAGAGGGAGGCAGAGAGGAAGGAAGGGACCCAGAGCTGGACGGACCCGTCCGACAACCTTCTCCTCACCTCTCCCTGTCTCTCTCTGGCCATGGCTCTCCCTCTCCAGCCCTGCAGCCCACCTCTGGGCAGAAGGCGATGAGCACAAGAGAGAAAGAAGCATCTGAAACCAGTTTCACCTGGGGGAAGTGAGACGGGCAGGCGTGGTGTGTGGAAGGACTCTCCGCCTGTATGTGTGTGTGTGTGTGTGTGTGTGTGTGTGTGTGTGGCTGGGCGGCACTCGGGACCCCCGGAGGCCAGGCTGCCGGTGCGCCGTGACAGATGAAGATTCTCTTCCCGGAGATGCAGGCAGCCTGGGTGTGTCTCTTGGGGTCCATCCCGGTGGGATTGCTCAGTGCAGACGGCCTGCGACTCCTCCTCCGCAGGGGAAGAGCTTCGTGAATACAGATCAGCTCCCTGCAGACTTTGCAGGTCAAGAGAGTTGTGGGTGGCCAAAGGATTTCTCAAAAGTGACTTTTAAAACGCTTCCAGAGCCCTCCCCTCTCTTTAGCCTTTGTTTTGCAAGAGGAACTTGGTGTCTGAGAAGTGGCTTCCACTGGCCCCATATGGGGTTCGCTTGGGAACCAGTGTAATAGGTGGCTGTATCCACTGAACCCCCGGGGGGCATCCTGGATGTTTCTTGGCCATGGAATTTCTTCCTTGAAATGGACAACAGTCACTGACTCTCCAGATCAGGGCATCTTTGAGGGCAAAGGCAACTACTGGTGAGAGCTTGCTCAGCACCAACAACTTTGCTGTGGGGCTGGGGATGGAACCCAGGGCCCCAGAGTGGTGGGCAAGCACTCGACCACTGAGCCCCCGCCCCCACCCCCACAGACTCCTTTTTATGGCCTTCCAATAGGTAAGATCCTGGCCTCCTGTTGGTGTGTCCAGTAGGTGGCTACTGTAGGGATGTGGCCTTACATGGTGACCATATGACCTGCTCAAATGCATGAGATGTGACATTGCTTTCCGGCTGGCAGCTGCCTGACCTTTCTGAGCCCCTAGGGACCACACAGGTAACTTCCTGACTCAGGACTAGACCCCTCCTGGAGGCTTCTGTCTGGCTGTGTGACTTTGTGAGTGACACACCTCTGTATATCAGTGCCCTCCTGACCAACCAAATGACTGTGATGGTACTGACCTCACTGGCTTGTGGGGACCGCCGCCTGCATTCATATGCATGACTCTGAGCACACGAGGCCTGGTGTGTGCTTCCGCCTTGTGTGTTAGCCATTGTCACATCCCCCTAATGACCTGTTCCCTATCCTGCCCTGGGGAGACACAATCACGCCTCCATCTGAGGAAGGACTTCCTATATCTTTTACAGAGTGGATCCTGTGAAGTTCTAAATAGTGGAGATGTTAAGTGGACTTGTAGGGTTGGGTGGGTCTGCCTTTGAGGCTCACTTGACCCCCATTGCTTCTGTGATCTAAATGCATTTCTTCATTTGGGGAGTGAAAGTGGAGAGAGTGACCCCCCCCTCCCCACCTCAGGCTGTGAGGCCAGGAGTTGTGTCTTCCTTCTCTCTGGCACCCTGTGCCTGGACCAGGTCTGACACAAAACAGGGACTCAGAGAAGTGTTGTTGAACTATGAGTTGACTCCTTCAAGAGCTGACCCCTTCTTCAGCAGACACATCATTTGCAGATGTGACCAAGTTAACGATCAGGATAAGCCCACGTGGGCCCCATGAAACTTCAACAGCCCTCTTATGAGAGAGGCAGGAGTGAGTCTAAGAGATTTGAAGGTGCTCCATTCTTGACTTTGAAGATGGAGGAAGGGGCCATGAGCCAAAGAATGCAGGTGGCGTCTAAAGCAGGAAAAGGGAACGTAGTCTCCCCTAGAGCCTGTGGGGAGTGCAGCCCAGCTGACACCTTGATTTGGACTCAGACCCATTTTGGACTTCTAATCTTCAGAATTGGAGGATGAGAGGTTTGTCTTGTTTTAAGCCACTAAGTCTGAGGTCATTTGTTACTGCAGCAAGAGGAAGCTCATACCGACCATGAGAGGTGTGCCACAGTAGTCCTTTCTCCACCTCTCTCTGGGCAGGTCACTGTTCTTCAGGGACATGAAGAGAGGGGATGATGGGTGGCTGCAGCAGCCCTTTCTGTCT